ATGATTCACAACTTGTGCGCTCATACCATGTCTATATTAAAGTCAGGACACACACACACTATCATAAAACCAACTAATTTTCACACACACAAACACGTGCACGCAGTGTGAAAACAACACTTTCAACATGTTATCTCTATTTGTCCAACAAATACGAAGGATTCAGTTAATTACTGTTTTACTCAGTGGTAAAATCTGTCTCAGAGGTTGAGCTCAGGTAAGGAAAACAGGATTTTCACCCTGGCATCTGTATTTAATCATACTATTGCATCTACTCTGTGGGTGCTCTAAGAAAAGATGTTTTGGAGTTACTAGAGAAGTGCTGCCTATCAGAGAGCTACGCTTTAAGAGAAAAGTCAGACATTTATTTGATTTGGCTCTCAGAGTTAGATGAGACGATCAATACAGCTCTCACATCTGTATGGCAGATATAAGGCCAGTGGCTAGTTAGCTTAGCATAAATACTGAAAAAAGGACAGGAGGAAACAACAGACTGTACAGGAAGATGGATGAGGCCTCAGGAGCATCACCCATAAGTTTCCTGAGCAGGAGTTTTGTTGCTCACTCACTGGCTTTGACTGCCGCTAATCAAAAAATGAGCAAAGATGTGGAATATGGTTGAGAGGGGCCATGCAAACATCTCTGGGGCTAGGACTCTCCTAGGACAGTACCCTCCTGTCACTTAATATGACTAAACCCTTAATTATGCATAACTTTAAGCCTTAATATAATTAAAACTCCTAAAGTACGTATAAATTCACATTCTGTATGGCTGTCATGAGCAAAGAAATTAGCTATAAAGACCCAAACCATCTTTTGTAAAAGGCTGCAGTCATCTTTATTTCATCTGTAAATTTGTGCATTTTAACATTAGGGTCTTTGGAAATTAACTCGCTTTTGGAGGCAGCCTCAAGTGGCCATTCGAGGAACTGCAGCTATCAGGGTTCACTTCATTTTTCAGCCTTAACGGCTCCCACTTAGGTAAACAAAGATAACCTAAAACTAAGTCTACAGCATGACAGCAGCATTCGTCTTGTTATCAAACTCTTGTCAAGAAGGCAAATAAGTCAAAATGTCAAACTACTTCAACCACCGCAGGTCAGCGAGTCCAGAGATGGGCTTTCCCTCTCAAAAGAGGTGGAGTCCAGGGAATTTTAACAAGACCTCCGGGAATGCTAGATATGTTACACAACTCCATATGCGTTTACATAAAGCACGCAGAAGCAGTGTCGTAAATTTATATAAAAGCAGATGAGAAAAGTCGTGGATTCATAGAATACCAGCAGATAAGCAAGACAGCATCATTCTGCAGCCCTGCAGTTTGCCCCCAACATGCAACCCAACCACACACACGCACCCACATTTATTTATGGATCTAAATATGCTGTGTTTTGAGTTGTATTCAATATCTCTATAAAAGTGCTGCTATAGAGGAGAGGTTCAATTTCCTGCTTTGTTGGCTACATTGTCATTACTCAGCGGTTGTTTTGAAACAGTGCATGTCTGTGGCACTTCTCACATGAGGGATTGTATGGATCCTCTCCAAAACATGACACACACACACATTTTACACACACACACACACACACACACACAACACTCGCTCGGTCACTCACTTGTGCCTCGTCACAAAGAGATCGACCTGGACATGCCTGCTGTGTGATTTGCTCTGGCAGCTAAAAGCCAGCGATCGGTTACTGGCGAGTTCAGATAGCAAGATTTGCGGTCGCTTTCAGATTTGTCTTTCCCCTACCAGAACCGTGCGCGGGGGAGCGAACGTCTGCACTTGTTTTTTTCCTCTTTTCTCGAAGGCTTATTTTTAAGACTGTGTCATTAAACGGCGTACGGAAGGGAGTGACAGGGAAGATATAGGAGGCAGAGGGGAAAGGTCATCAGGGCAAGAAGGGAGGAAAAAAATACTTGGGATAAAATATGACACTGCAACATCCGGGAAGTGACTCTTTTCCGCAATGTGACTTTCAAAAGAATGACTGACGGAAGCTCTCTGCAGCATGACTTGCATTTTGCTCAGTAACAGTGAAATCAGATGAAGGAACAGCACAGTGGTTCCCCCTCCCCCGAGAAAATCCTCATCATCAGAAGAAAAATGCAAATTTAGGCTTCTGCTGCTCACCGATTCATGTTTCCCCAACCTCTAATTAAGCCTGGGTGTGTATGTACATGAGTTTATGCAGGAGTGTCAGGAGGTGAGCCTGTTTGCACGCTCATGCCAGCGTCCCTTCAGGTTTTTGTGCCTAGGTCCCCCTGTAATTATCCAATCCTCCACCAATCTGTGTGTGTGGACGCTGAGCCAGCTTGGATAGGGATCTGCGGTCGGCGCAGTGGGAATTTCTTTGGCGCAGAGTCTCCTGGCTGACATTGGGGAGGCAGGCAGCTGTGGCACGGGGACGGAAGACGGTCGGGCGGCGTTCCCAACCACTCTGGTTGGACGGCTGGACGTGCAGATGACGGGATTGATGGGTTAATTAAAGCTTAGCTGAGTCTTTGACTTCCACATGCACTCACACACACTCAGAGGTGAAGCAGTGCATCGGTTATCGGCTCCAAGCTGCAGCACACACACACTTTTTCTGTCTGTTTTGTGTCTTCATTGCTGATCTCTGTCTCTCTTTTACTCTAACTTCCTCTACTTTCTCATTCTATTCTTCTCTTTTCTCTACTTTCTCTCATCCTGTCTTTATCCCGTCTTCCCTAGACCTTAAATACATATAGTGTAGGGTAAATGTTGGGTGGGGTGGGACATAAAATGGGGTTAAATTTGGCTCAAGATAAATCCATGCATACGCTCGAGTTGCACCAACTCCAAATTAAGGTACGCGTGTGTGTATAATTACCGGTGTTAGTCTTCCTGCAGTTTACTGCAGCATAAGTTGAGCACACAATATAGTGAATAACATAAAATCTTACTCTCTGCCAAGAAGTTATTCACCTAGGGTTCGCACTTGTACAGCACACAATATGGCAACAATCACAATTGTGTGTTGCTATCAAAGGAGGAGAACATGCGAGAGACACACAGATGTGTTTAAAGCAGGCAAAAACATGTCAAACATGTTTAAATTCTGTTTGGGGAATTCTTCAGCTGCCACAAACATCCACTGGAAGGAAAAATACTCAAAAAATCATCTATTTATTTCCTAAACAGGCTTCTAACACATTTTTGTACACTCACAAATCTGTGGAATAATGCAAGCTGACATGTGTAGTTATTTTCAAGTAAGACCAATATACTTCTGTGACTATAATGATACCACTGTGCTGTTTGATTATAAGCTGTAATGTAGAAAAAACACATTTACTGGCAAAAACGTGGTCCAATGCATCGCAGACATGAACGGTTCTCTTAAAGCAGAATGGTTTGTTCAGTTGCATTTTTTACATCAGTGTGAAAGATCCAGCCCTCTCCTCTCAGCTACCAACCACATGTTAAATAAGAGATAAACACATTATATATATGTTGAGCCAATAGATTTTTTAACAGCACACTTATTTAAAGATTTAAAGCTTTAACTAAACCAAGAGAAGTCCTGGGATGGGTTTCGGCATCTCCCCACCCTCACACGTGGTCTTTTACTTAAAAGAGAGAAAGCAGCTGTCAGGAAATAGGAAGCCTGCCTTTCTCGTAAAATAAGCGGTATCAAATACCTGTTCACTTGAACCGTGACAAGATAATACTGATGAATCAACTTTGCAAATCCTGTGAAATCCCTCCTTAAAATGACTGCATAGTAATAATAAAGGGACGAGCTGTACACGGCCCTCTTCTGGTGAAGGAGAGTGCGCATGTATAGTGGTGTGTGTGAGAGTGGTCGAAAGCCTCTTATTGATACAAGCATGTAGGAATTTGGACTCAGACAATGGAAGGCGTCTGGCAAAGATGACAGTCTCATCTTGATGCGTGTGTGTAAGTGGGGCCGTTGGCTTCAAGGCTCGTTGTGGTGGGCTCATTACGTAGCAGCACATCCTGCCAAAACCACTGTAGTACGCTGCAGCATTATGCGTTAAGACTTGGGTAAGAGAAGACAGGACTCCTACACTTTGTCGTTAATCTGTCCTTAAAAATGAAAGAACACCCTGGAGAGGCAGTGTGCAGGAGTTCTCTCTTCTCTTACTTATGGATAGTTCCTCTTATGCACCTGTCTACAAGAAACTATGGGTGTGCATGAGCCTTTAATGAGTCAAAGTGAAACTTCAAATGAGCAGTTACCGCAGCAAATGGTGCACAGAGAAAAGTGTGTCAAAGAACTGTTAATATTAATGCGCCAAATGCCTTCGCAGTATTTTTACTGTGCCTAATTTAAGCAAAAATATAGGAAAAATACTCCCCCAAATCGCAAAATTAAAATAAAAAGCATAGCCAGGACTTTATTTCAAAAAGAGAGGAGGATCGTACTGCCAGTGAGGTCATCACGCAACCCCTGACTGTGCGTCAAGCATGTGCTCATTCTGTCATTAGGGAGCAGGACATGAGTGCATCAAATTAGCCAAATTACAGATATTTAGTGAAAGAATGAACAGAGTAATACTTTAAACGACTAAAACCATAAGCCTGTAAACTATCCATAAATACGGCTGCTAAATTCCAGCAACTTCAGTGCACATTTAGATGATCCATATACTCTGTAAGCCTATGTTTGTTCAAAAATACAAACAGGCACAACGTTTGCTGAGACACAGATCGTCCTTCATTGAAAATATTTGCTGTCTTGAGTTGGAAACTCAGACGAAACAAGCAGCAGGGACTGTTTTTGCGTACACGGGTATAAGTAAACGCCATATAGCCACATAGGACAAAGTCATAAAAACACATTACCGCCGTGCGTAAAAGTGGTCATGACTGCAGCTCGGGCTTTGCGGCGAGAGAAGCCCCACACTAGTCTGACACAAGTTAACTACCGGCTACAGCAGCCATTCAGACTCCTACTCCTAGGCTGGAAAAAAAGAAAAGAAAAGAAAAAGGAAAAAGTTGTCGGACTCACCGGTTTAGTGAATAAATGGAGTTGAAATCAGTATTCGGAGACGAGCATCATCGGCTGCAGAGGACTGAGTCGGCAGGTGTAATTAAAACGTTTGAGAATGGATGAAAACCGCAAAGCCGGTAAACGAGGTTCCCCCCGCTCTCTCTCTCTCTCTGGCTCCTCTCCGTGTGTGAAAGAGGACATAAACAGTGAGCTGGCTCAGTGAGCTCACAGTGCGTCACCGCTGCAAGCTGAAACTCCCGACAGGCTGTGTGTGAGTGTGTGAGTGTGTGAGTGCGTAAACCGCCTCTGCTGGTTGTGGTGCTTTCCAGGCAGGTGTCTGGACTGTAGTTCTCCTCATATGGAGACCCAAAATGCTCAACATTAAATAAAACAGATGAATAAAATAAGACATATTAATACATAGAAATATTTAATGTTTCATGGCATTTTTAACCCATTCAAGCTCATTGTGTTTTGAAATCTCCTCAATGAATTACCAACAACATTAACTGGGTTACTCATCTTGTATGGTTATGAATACATTTCCCTTCTAATGTCACTGACATTAGGCTTTAATGTGTTGTATGGTTCTTGTAAAGGCTCTCTAGTTCTTTAAAGTGCCATCATTATTTTTTAAAGGATGATTCTTCACCTGCTTTATGTGGTTATTTAAAGCAGCTGTTGAGTCATTTGGTAGCAAACTGCAACTAACTAACCAACCATCTTAACTGGGGATTAATCTGTAACCTTTTTAAATAAATCAGCAGAAAACAGCGACAAACGTCCATCACAGTTTCCCAAATCCCAAACTGGCATCTTGTAATACGTTGTTCCCCCTGATGAACAGTCCAGAACCCAAAATATGAACCGTTGCAATGGAAGATCCAGAAATTCTACAGTTTATACATAAATGTTCTTTAAATCCGCATGTCATGAACTGTCAAATGCATTCAGTGTTCATTTAAGGTTTTCTGAGACTGTGTTCCCTGTCACAGTGACTGATCTTGTGTTTCTAATACTTTGTGTTTTTCTGAAGTTGGCATTTTTAAAACCTTAATCATCTGTAATTTAGTAAAGTTAAAGCAAATGGTTTAAAATAAAAAAGGCCAACGTCTGTGTTCATGTGCTAGTTTTTCAACCTAGATGTAATAATTTGATCAAAATGCTTAAAGTCACTGACTTGAGAATGATTTGAAAGATGTTCTTTACTGAACCATGTGGATCCACAAATAACTACCCTGAAAATGGTTCTTTGAAAAACCTGTTTTAGTTCTTCAGAGCATTATTTATGGTGTCTAAAGGAGCCATTTTCTGATGGTTCTTTAAGGCACATTTGGGAGTCCGTTAAAAAAAACCTCTTGCCAAAAGGCTTCCTTAATAAGGGTTCTTCTACGGCATCACTATGAAGAACCAGTTTTGTGTCTAGTTAGCACCTTTGAGTGCAGAACACATAGTCGACACTGAAATAAGTAAAAATCAAGCCAAATTCTAACAGTAATGTACTGGTTTTCTGAAATGCAGGTAAATCCAGTCATATCTGATTACTTTTGGAGGCCAAACTAAGACAACCTTTAAGACCTTTAAGGCTGCTGTAAAAACTGATGGTATTCAAATATTTAAGATTCATTCAACTTTATATAAACAGAGCAACTTCAATTGTTATATTCAGGGGCTTTCAGAAAAATCCTTTGGAAAGAAACAAGTGGCTGAATAAAAAGATGTGTTTGACATTCAGTATGCAAGATTTTAAAAAGCCTTTTTCCGTATTCCCTGAAATCAGTGAATGAAGGAGATTTCCACGTTGTTCTGCTGTAGCTCCGCCTGCGTCAGTCAATGACTCACAATATCAGTCAGTCATTCTGGTGAGACACAGAAAAATCTCTGTGCTGCTTCTTTCAGTCACCACACAGATCTTCACTGTTCAGTACATTTGTATACTGTGTGTGGGCTGCTGCTGCAACTTGTATGAGTCTTAATGGGGGAAGGGTCCACGTTGGTGTTTGTGTGTTTCCTGAATGGCTTGCTTTCAGCTATACTCTGCAGGACTATCATATCACAATACACTTCATTGTAGGTCAGTGGGTTAAAGCTAAATGAATAGTGGAGAGACGCTGCAGCAGGCTGGTAAAAACCACAGAGGTAACTTTGTGCTGTGGTCAAGTCGATGTTACTGGAGGCGAGGGAGACATTGCTTGTACAAGTTGTGGGGTTTCATATAACTACGAGAAAGAATCCGAATGTGTTGTCTTGTGAATATGTTCCGCACTGTTATTGTTGACATATTTCAGTAAGTTTCTTGTATAGTTAGCGGTCCCATCTGTGTATCTGTCTGTCTGTGAACAGGCTCTAGCTCAAGTGCTGAGGTCCACCAAGCTGATGCTGTACAGGTGAGCTAGGAATGGCCTCTCCTTGGAATGATTAGATTTTTGGGGTCAATGCAAAAACAGCTCTGCTAAAGGTTAAAGGTCACCTTTTCAAAAATGCTGTATACCTTCAAAAGGGTGGAACGTAGATTTATGGTCTTTGGTGCAGATGAGCAACCATGTTGGGGCTTTCTGTTGGTTCTTACATTTGACCGTGGGTGACAATTTAAGGTCAGAAATTTTGACTGCACTGTAACTTGAAAAGGGTGCAAGACAGAAACATTGTCGGAAACCATACATAGGCCTTCCACTGGGGATGTAACATTTGACCTTGGGTGATATTTTAAGGTCAAACTCAAGGTAAACGTATACATGGACAGTACCAATTACAGCCTGATTAGGTTCATTTTGTTTACTCTGATTATAGGTATACGGTTTTCTTTGTGGTCAGACAATGAGCATATTTAAGTAGTAGCTGTTTTTACCTTTTTGACATGTTTCGACTGACACTTCAGTCTTTCTCAGAATCGTCACTGACGTCTGTGGTGACGTGTCTTCATCAGCTGGTGGTTTCCTGGACGTTTCTGAGGAAGACTGAAGTGTCAGTCGAAACATGTCAAAAAAGTAAAAACAGCTTCTACTTAAATACTCATTGTCTGATAAAAAAAAAAAAGAAAATCGTATACCCAGTACCCATTACACCTCAGACAATCAGCCAACCATGATCAGTAAAAGAAAACACCGTAGTGCAATCATGGCAGCAGTGAAAACTAAGTCCCTCAACTGAGGGCCCTCTAGTTTTATATGTTGCCATGGAGAGCCTATAAAAAGTAGGCAATCTGCTTTTAAAAATGACACGAGATGGTACTTCCTTCCAAAACTGAAGGGTTTAAAATGAAGCTGGGCATTAGCTTTTTTGAGCAACAAGCAGATTCAAGCTGGAAACATTAAATGTCTCACTTAAAACTAAAATTATGTCTAAGACACACTGTCTGATGAAAGGAACAACAAAAGTCTGTATTAGAACAGTTAAGATGTTGAACTGAAAAGTTTTAGGCTATTAATTAGTGCTCCATACTTATTTGACAGCTTTACACCTTCATATTGCATGCATGATAAGCAACCTACATGATGATGGAAAGTAACCATAAAGGTTTTTTGTAGTGTTTCCCAGTACAATACAGTCAAAATGTGCCAAAATCGGATCTATTTAGACTTTTCTGGCTGGACACTTGACAAAAGACTGTAAGATATTGTGTTAGAGTCGTTAATGATAAATTGTAACTATTTTTATGTTTTCTTAAAACTAGAAATACCACGTCCAACATTGTTCCTCAGCAACCAGTGCTTTGATGTCAACAGTTGTTCATAAGAAAGAATCCTTTTCTGCATGTCTCCAGTGGGGCTTTGGATCTTGTTTCCTCTTTTGCAATGATCTCTAGATCTCTGACGTTAGAGGGCTTCAGTGCCGTCACTTCTGGTCTTCAGATCTCTTCATGGATTCTCGATTGGATTCCGGGCTGGACTCAGGCTAGTCCTGTTTTCTATTAACTGTTTCTTCAACACTTTGGCTGTATGCTTCAGTTCACTGGCTTGTTGACAGGTTCAGTGTTGCCAAAAGTCTTCCTGCAGACTGCCAGATGTTTTTCTCCAGAATCATGCTTTCCTTGTTTCTCATGATGCTGTGTTCTTTGAAAAGGGTGCCTATTGGCAGAAAACATTCCCAGCGCATCACATCCTACCACCATGCTTTATGGTGGGGATGGTGTTCTTGGGGTTGAATGCTTATCTTTTCCTTCAAATAAAAGTCACATTCCTGCGTCCAAACAGCTATATTACTGTTTAATCCGACCACAAAATTGATGACCAAAAACTTTCTCCAGTCTTTAGGTGTGCTTTGGTGTGTCTGTCTTGGAGAGTCCTCCTTGGTTGGCGTCCATGTAAACCAGTCCGTTGAAGAGTCTGTTGTAAGATGTTGGTACCAGAATTGCTTGGATTCAAAGGGACTATGGCACTCCTCAGACTCAGACCGGTCTTGACAGCACAGGGTTCACTTTTGACTTTTTAGTTCATTATTTGAGATCTTTCAGTTTGGAACTCCTTTCACTTTTTATGTTTTGCACTGACCACTGGAACTCAAAAACACTTTAATAAGGCTTTATAGTCTTTTTCTGTCTTGTGAGCAGCCACAGTATGCAACACTTTCTTAGTGATGGACCCTCATAGCAACCTCACAACACTTTTGGTTTTAGCCATGGCATGCAAATAACTCGTAACGATTGCAGCTGTTCTCAATTTATAGGGATAGAATGCTCCAAATCAGGGGTGTCCAATCCTGGTCCTCGAGGGCCACAATCCTGCATGTTTTAGATGTTTCCCTCTTCCAACACACCTGATTCAAATGATCAGGATCGTTATCAGGCTTCTGCAGAGCTTGATGATGAGTAGAAATGGGCCATCTAGAATGACGTAGAAGTTTAAATTTTCTCAAATATTTGTGACAATTTAAATAATATTATTTGTCATAGACATGACAGTTTTATTAAAAGTGATTTTAAAAGAAGAGAAATCCTCTATTATTAACGTAAATTTTACTAGTTTTACTATCTTTTGTCATTTGCTCATGTGAAGCAACCTTCTGGTCAAATAAAATGTCACTATACATGTAAACTGGGCGTAGATATGAATAATTTTGGCATTAACTGTGTAAAATGTATTTTATACTCCCTCTAAAATACCAAATGCTGCATATTTAAGTACTAGCAGAACCCAGTAAGGATTCGTGTAATTAAATTACACAGTACATCACCCATTATGAGAAAGTTTCCCAAACTTACTTTAAGTTCTAATTATTAAGAGAACAAGCACAGACTGGCACCAGTGAACTGATTTAATTACAAAGAGGAACCCACAGTGACAAAACGAGAACAGCTACATACAAGAAGTAACTCTGATAGGCCGTAACCATGACGACTGCAAGATGTCAACCAGAGTTATGAGCGAGTGGCTGCGCGGAAACTTTTTTTTTGTGTGTGTGTTGTTGTCCTTTCTGTGAATGTTTATAACGAGGCAAACATCAACACGTCTCGGAGTGAACATGGCTGCCAGTGGAAACATGAAGCCATCTTTTCTTCTTTTCCAAAGATCTAAGACAGTTATAATTTAAACGTGACTGACAGTGCATGCCAGAGGGGGAGAGGGAGGGAAGGAGGGAGGGGAAAATACAAACAGAAACAAAACCTTACACAAATATATAAAAATATGCCATTAGATTCATATCAACAATTGAGGACTGTGGGTGCACTATTTACAGAAAAAGGCAATATGTACCAATATTTACAACAATAAAGACTTAGTTCACATATGGGCATGAGTAGGTTACCTAACAGTGACGATGGGTTCATGTGATGGTGGAAATTAATCAATACAACATGCTTTATTCTCTCAATTCTGGCTGAATTAGCAGTGAAATTAGCTTTTACTTCATTTTTAAGATGTAGTGTTTGTGTGTGTATATGAAGAGTCAGTTCAGTTTCATTTCACTGGGCTCAAAACCAAATTGCAACTGTTGGAAAATGTGAATCATTTATATGATCGATTGATGAAATGTAAAAGCATATTCTTAAGGCAAACAAAAAAACAACAACAACTTCCTGACACAGTTGATGTTATTGATTCTAACCACAGTAGCATCATCAAACAAAGCTGCCCAACAGTTTCTAGAGCAGGACACCATGTAGTTATGTTTTACCCTGACACCCCAGAGCATTAAAAGTTGCTATAAATTCAGTGATCCACCTTAAAGGGCTACTTTGCTGCCAAACTCCCAGTTGTAGAAACACTGCTGCTAAAGCAGAGACAGCTCACAGATGTTTTTCACCGTTCACACACATTCTACAGCGAGCTCCGCCGCTCCACAGCCAGCATGGGTACACAGCATTATCACAGGGAACTTGGCAGCTCTTCACAAAGAGAACCCGAATTTAAAACTTCATTGTCACTCACACAGAACATAAAAAACACACATCTGCTACCTTAACGTTACAGGAAATTGAGGGAATAGTTTTGGGACATCATCTAAGATACTTTCCTACATAGACCGTGATACTTATTTCTTGCTGGTTTGGTGACACAGATTAGCTTGGCTTAGCACACTGACTGGAAACAGCTAGCCTGGCTCTGACCAAAGGATTAAAAAATAAATAAATCTGCCAATCTGGACTTCGCAGCTCATGATTTTTATAAATCTGCACAAAAACTGATAGCAAATGGCTCCAATGAAACCACAATGTGCCATTTATATGTTCTACGTTTTGCACAGATTTAACATGTAAATTAGGTGTTAGTTTGCTTTAGAGGTCCTCACAGGCGTTTTTCAAATTTACTTTAATCTAGCTTTTTTTTCCCCCGATTCCAGACTTACATCAAAGTGAAGCAGCTGCAGGTTATACCTCAGCTTATACCATACACATGAGGTGGTATAAAACTTCTCAGCGAATTTTCCCAAAAAGTCCTGTATCATTTGTTAAAACTCTTCACTGCTGTATTCCTCACAGGTTAAACAAAGCTAAGTGGAATTTTGCCTCAACTGGGTACAGAAAATCACCAAGAAGCTCCTTTTTATACATTTGCGCTCAGCACTTAAGGAGGATGCATGGACAGCCACCATCCACTTTTACAACTTACAGGCTCACTTGCTAGTTAGCAGCTATCACAACAGCCAGCTAATCCTCTTAACCGTTAGCCCCTGTCACAGCAGGAGAGAGAACCTTAAGTCTGTGCATTTGGAAGTGGGAAAGCTGAGGTGAAGTGCCCAGATGGCTGGTGAGGTGCAATGAGGTTTTCTAGGCTTGGAGGGATCAAAGACAATCACTGCTTAACCCCAAAGCCTGAAGCTCACTAGGGTGTTTGTGTACGCAAGGACGAGTCCTTCACTTCCACAGACATGTGCTGTAGTACCACGGAGAGCTGACTTTTCACTGTGTGTGCGGGAGATGGCTTAACTTTTAGCCTTCTGAAGGCACGTGCAGTTTCTCAGCGTTTGTCCTTGTGACATACAATCACTGGCTTGTCTCTGAAACTATTAGCATCCTGTTCCCCAACTACTGAAATCTGTGCAGGTTTGCGTACTAGGTGTGTAAGAATACATCTGAATGCTATATTTTGTATACAAAAAAACACCACAATACATATAGTGGAGTTGGAAAATAATTTCAAGCAAATCTTAGCATTTGGCACCCAAAAAGGCTACAGATGACTGTGTTCTGTCAGTCAAAGAGCTGCTTTCTGTGAATTTTGGGATTGATTTGACAGTGGGATCTGTTTGCAGTCTGGGACGTCTTGCAGTGAAAAAAAAACAAAACACTTCCTCCAAATCCTCCGCTCTCTGGTCCTGCACCTCGACTTTTGAAGAGTCATACAACTCCAAAGCAAATACCCTGCACTGTGTATCGTACCGAACCGAGATCCAACTGTATTCTTACATCCGTAGTGTGCATGTCTGTCTGCCCGAGCCAATCTATGCCCTTTAATCTGTTCTAGTAATTAAACCAAGGCCTCTTTGTTCTTCAGTTCAAAAACAAACAAAAAAAGTGAAAGCTACATCTTCTATAAATTAAGTGCTGTAAAAGAAGGCGCTAAAATCAAAAACCATAAATACTGTACATAACTATCTTTTTCTGCTACCACAGCCTAGCGTCATCTTTAAAGAGTCCCTGTCCCTCGTGACAGAACGCTTAACAAACTGAAACGTCATGGCAAAAGAAATCTTTTCAGACCCCTTGATGTCTTCAACACATACAAGGCTTTGGCATAGTTGTGTTAAGGAGGAATGTCTCCAATGCACTTTGTTCTACCAGTAGAGGGACACTGCTTCTTCTACTTTTATGTCGTCTTAAACTGGCAAAAATTAAATACGAAAATTGAATATCTTTGTAAAACACAGGTGTGTTTTTCACAAATGTCTTCTGACTCGGTGAGTGAAGGCGGTGCATTAATGTATGGGACTATATGTGTTTATAGTCTACTTAGATACTCTTGCCACATATTGCACTTAAATGATGCTCTTACCCACTCTCCCTCTACAGGAGGAAAGATGATGTTAGCAGTCTTACATTTATGATCAATGATCATGGAGTTGATATCACATCTCTGTTGGAGTCAGAAAGATGTGGTAGTCCAAACCTCACCAATCACGTTTAAGGCGCAAAACACTTTGTCCTTTGCTCCTTTAAAAGACATCATCTTAACCTTATCACTAATCTTGGTGTCTAGCTTGGAAAAAAAAACAAAAAAAAAAATCTAAATTCAAATTCGTAGTTCACAATATCCATCAAACTACAGTTACTGTTCATAGTTAGTTACCATCCATAGATATTCAAATATTTTGTCATGAAATTTACCTCTGATCATCAGGAGTCTTTTAGTCTGAAGTTCAAGTTAAGATGATTGGATGATGGAATAAAGAGTTGATGTCCAAGTCCAAAAAACAGAGAATCTCAAAGGAGAAGTGCATGCTATGCTTCATTCATGTCAAAGTGTACTCAAACGTCCTCTTTCATCCTCCTGTGCAATGACACTTTGCAGAATCCAGGTCCACTTCTGTGCGTTCTCAGTCTGAACATGTGTCCATCTGTGAAAGTGTAGTTGTTCCCTTCTCTGTCATCTTCTGTCTCTAATAGTAAAAATTCGAGTCTAAAGACACTTTTTTTTAGACAATACTTGCAGATGCCAAAAAAACAAAATACACACGCACAGACATGCACACCATCAGAAACATTAACACAAGAAAACTTGGTCTGACGTGATCATATTCACTAGCAAGTCCAGGAAGGAGCTGACAGCCATAATATGCACATAGAGACTGGTGGACCAGGCAGAAGACCAAAACAACAACACCAAAAAGTGAGGAGTCTGATGCGATTAAAGGACAGGAGCTAGTGTGCCAACTGCAGCGAGATATGTCAGACTCTGTGTTCGATTGTCTCAGACCCTCCACAGCAAAAGATGGTTAGTACTGTCGTCCCGTCCAACTGTTTCACTGCTATTGGTCAGTCTGAAATCCTCATAGCCGTCGCCACCAGAAATGACTAAATGGTTTGTTTTAGGAGGGATGTGGGCAGAGGCTCGGCGGCGTGCAGAATCACATCTTTGGAGGCTCCCGTCTACTGTGCTGCTGCTCTGGGACTGATTACCTAGAAAGCAGAGGTAAAGGGTTAAAGGTCAAAAGGAGGCACAAGCAAAACTTGAGCTTATTATAGTATGGATTAGTTCTGTCTTGATATATTACACAGAAAGGACTGTAGATACATGAAGTCTCAGTACATGTGTAAACATGTGTGCATGAAAAGTAAAGATTTGCAAAAAAAAAATGTAGCAGCAACAACCTGTGGAGTCAGCTGTTGAAGGAGGGAAGTTCATGTCAAACCCTTCTGGTAGTTCGATTGATGTCAGGAACCGAACGTGGCCTGTGTGTCCGTGAGCCGAGCCCATTGGTACCAGGGGAGACTTCAGTGTCCCAGCAACAGTTCCTGAGCTCACCGCTGGGATTGCCAATGTAAGAACTACCCCTGTAGAAGAACAGCAGCTTACAATTAGCTTTCTGTTTCAATCTAAGGCATAACAATCAATTTAAAATTACACAAATGTTCAAGCAGTGTGTGCACGTTGACTATTTCAAGACCTTTTAATTACTGCCTCTATGTGATTCAATAATGTAGTGAAACAGAATAGCAGTTCAGTTTAATCATCAGATTCATGAATTATTTTGGATTTCTAAAACGCGTTCTTACCTGCACTGGTGCCGATCCACAGTAGATCCTTACAGGCCAGCAGGGCTGTGATTCTCAGACAGGCGGCCTTGTGCTGTCTGATGATTGCATCTGCACCTGAGCACAAAAAGCAAGAGTAGAATGAAGGATTAAAGTGACAACAAAAGACAGGATGGTCAGACAGTAGGAAGAGAGGTAAAAAAGGTGAAGTTTACAATTGAAGCAACATATGAAAGAAAAATAAATGGCAGTTAAATTAAGTTAAATAAAGAAACGTTTATGGAAAGAAGGCATATAAGCTGTGACTGATATCTGGAATCTAAGCAATGCCGACTATTTTATTGTAAATTTGCTTTATCTAGGATTTTTTTGTATATCTGCATGTTTGTGTATGTGCCTAAAAACCTTTGCATGTTCTCATAACCTCCATATGTGTTTACCTGCAAGCATCTTGTGCACAGCAGGCGCCACGTCCACCTCTGTCAGGCTCTCCCAAGTCTGAGCGTGGTAAAGTCTGACCTGTGCGCTGCCCTGTAACGCCAACCACACACCCTGACCGTACGCCACCATGCACGTCATACACCGACTGCTGTCAGTGCCCACCTGGAACCAGTGCTGCGAGGAAGGAAGGCAGAGAGACAAAGGTAAATATTGTTCCGCTTCAGTACTTTCTGCTTGCCGGTCTGTCAGCCTCGTCTATTATTCTGCTGCAGCTCTCAAGCCTGTGATTCACACCTTCACAGTCATTCCTTCCCTCCTCCACCCCTCTAAATCTTCTCTTCCACCTACCTCTTGTACCAGTGAGGTTGTGTTGATAATAAGGACTCTGTTCTGTGAACCACACCAGAGCTTCCCTCCCACAGGGACCATTTTGGTGACAGGACTGCTGGGTGTACCCAGAACCAACGTCTGAGAAGACTGAGGGTCCCAGAAACTACCTGCAGATTGAGAACATTAACAGGGATTAAAAAGAAAAAAAGGACAAAACATAATTAACTCATTTAGTTACTAAAGTGATATTGTTCATATTACAATTTGAAGTATCTGATCCTCAACACATGCTAAAGTGCATGGGACTACAAAATGTAGTGTGTTGCATGTTTCCTTCTTTACAGCAGCATATGAACTAAAACATAAAATGATCTGTGGACTGCTTCATCTGTAAACTTCCAGTGCATGCAATTGGGACAAGCTTTAAACGAGCAATGGAAAAATGTTGCTAAGCACAAAGACTAAGAGCAATGCATGGCAAAAATACTTCAGTGTTTTTTACAATCTTGCCTTACTTCAATCACGTCCACAGTTCAGCTTACCTGCTTCTCTCTGATAGACAATCACCTCCCCATTTGCCAACGACACAAACACTTTGTTGTCCAAATATCTGAGATAGGAAAAAAGATGAATGTGAAAATGAGAAATGATACCACAGTAAAAACAACTAGTTTTGACTGATTAATACCATTACTAATTTCACACCTGCACAAAGTTATTCATTGTCCTCACTACTTCCCTCTCATCTTGTCTGCATTTTTAAACCATGCAATATTAAAACAAATGTCAGCATTACTTTTGTTTTTCAAGACACAGCAGCAGCTGAAAAAGGCAGACTTACAGTATACAAAGGATGGAAGCTGAGTGTTGCATCTTCATGCTGTTTTTACGGTTGCGGATGTTGTCCGAAGACTGGTACACGTGGATGCTAACAGAAACAGAGGAAATTAGGGAACGAAAACCAGCACATCAACAAGCAAAGAGAGCAGTTACTATTCAGGAATGGAAGCAATGTGTTAAATTTTCCAAGAGTTCTGATTGATCAAACCACATTCAAAACCAAATCACTAGTGAGTGCATGTGTTGGTAAACCACACACCATCCATCCTCTGTGCCGAGCCACACTGAGCTCTGGTAGGCCTCTGGGTCGATACTGAGCAGATCCTCCAGACTCGCCCGAGTGAAAGATCCCCGAGAGGATCGACGCATGGCACGACCGTCCATGGGGCTCTCTGTGTGGGCACGGCTTCCTCCACCGACTCCTAACATCCCTTGAGCTCCATAGGAGCTTGCTACCGGGAACTCCTGCTCCTCCTCACTGCTGGTGGTCTCTGTAGCCATATCCTTTGAGCTTGGACCTTCATCATCTTTGGGGGAAGACGGAAGAGAGTTTGAGGATTTGGTAAAGACAATGAAAGTGCAAAAGTGTGTGTATGATTGAAACTGAAGTTTTTACTTACTGCCATAGCTGGATGATATGGTGGAGTGACTGGCCTGACTCTGCAGAGTGGAAGAGGGACTGGGTGAATCTTCATCATCCGTGTCATCGCTGTCAAATGGAACAAGCTCTGCCCCTGGTCCTGAAAACAATCAGTCAACCGATGAGCCGACATAAATACAATTTCATGTATAATTGAAAATTAGACCACATACATACAAATATGATCACGTTAGGACTGGGGGAAACAGCGGAAGAGTATCACAAAACTTCACAATTTTATTCAATATAACCAAAAACATTTGTTAATTTTTAAATAATGAATAACAAAGGCTAGGAGAAAAAAGGTTTAATTTTAATTTAACGCCCTTACTTTGCATTTATCCACTTCAGCCTATTTATTAGGGCACACAGGTAACAACTTCCATGTTAACACAACAACGAAAAACACACAAAAAACAACAACAAAAAAAACACAGTGGTGAGGAGAAGCCCCGAATAGAGTGGACTAATGCATCTTGGAGACTGCACCAGAAGCTTTATTAACAAGGTATGACTGGCTGTTTATGATTCAAGGAAGGAGCAGTCTTGGAGGTTGTTCAGGGAATTGAACGTTAAGTTTTTATTGTGTTGCTTCATTGCAGTTTGCAACTGATGGATTGAACTGAAACTAGCACATTCATGTACTGATGAAGTGTCTACTGCCAGTGCAGCAGACTATCATTTGTTGCCCATGCCAAATACAAGTTGATTTAAATTCTAAGGGTTTTGTCGTACTACTACAAAAGTACATCTGTGTAGCAGCAACTGACCTGTAGGTTGTTCCGTGAGCTGTAGAGTTGAATGAGAAATGGATATGTGAAGCTGCTGCTGGTTGTGACCTGGCGCTCCAGAAATAGGGACAACAGCAGGCTCTGATCCACGCTCCCTGAGAAGTCAAGAGTGAACGGTTAATGGCATGAAGCACAAATGGAATCCGGATCCCACTCAGGGACTTTTGTGCATATATACAGAAACTGAGGTTTGGCATTTGATGTACACATGCTCAACTCTCAAGCTAATTTTCGACTCGTATTAGAGGTGCTTTCAATGACCTCAAATAAAAATGGGAAGAATGAACTTACAAACTGTCTGCTCCTTTTCTAGGGATGAAGCTATTGGTTGTGTTGTCAGTGACAGTTTACCTGTATGGCCTTCTGGGTCACTCAATGGAACAGACCTATCTTTAAGGAAATTTGTTTGCACTGACAAATAATGTAATCAGTCTTTACTATGTTCTGTGATTTGTCTTGGATGACTTCTTTAGATGAAGCTCATTCTGGCCAAGGAAACCACTTCTATTATATCTAAAACTACTGCTGAGCAATCCTTCATAAAGTTTGAAAATGATTACGACTAATAACATTACCATCAATTGTTTCCATATTCTGCTTGAGATTATTTTGAAACTGTGCGCAACACATTGAAAGTGAGAATGAGAAACAAGAGTCTGAGTTATAACAGCAATATGAAATGAAAGCTTCACAAACAACCATTGTTGATTTAATGTTTACCTCTATGTTGGTTGCATTCACACAAGTGAGTGTTTGTGTACACACTGACCTTCCTTTGAGTCCTGGTACTGCAGCAATACATATGATCCTTGCTGAGCAGACGGCAATACAGGCCTCCACTGTAGGCTCATCTTTGATGTTCAACAGACAAACCTGGAGAGAAAACGTCACATCAATCAAACCATCTGCAAATTCCAAATTGTTTTCATTTTCTCCACTGGAGAACACTGAATCATCATATGCAATATTTTCTCACCTGTCCCACATATCCATCACTGTTACACACCCACACTTCGCAGCCGCTGTCTGGACAGCTGTGGCTGGGAGAGGCACACGAAAACTGGAGACAAACAACAACACATGATTGAAAATGACTTATCTAAAGTCTCTAAAAGCAGCTTATCTACAGGTATGAACTTAACTGGCTTTAAATATTAGGAATGATTTTCCGTATCAGCAGAAAAACACACAGCAGTGGTGTGGGTGCGGCTACAAAACAAGGCTTCACACTTACATCTGTACATGTTATACAGAGGGTACTTCCAGCTGCTCTTACCTGCATTCCACTGCGGGTCTTCATTATAGGAATGGCCTTCAGGAACTCTGGATCCCATTGGTCCTTATTCATTGCTAAACACATATGGATGGAATAATTAAGCCTAATCAATGCAACACATTGAGAAAACTACAAGAAGGTAATCAAAAGCAAAATGTTAAATGAAATCAAGTCATCCACATTCTTTACCTACTGTATTCTACTATCATGCTAGCAAGTTAGCATGATGACAATTCTATTTTATCTTTTCATAAAGAATCTTTACTGACCTAGCTTCTTCTTGGCATCCTCAAAGGCCTGTTCAAAGCTGGAGCGAGCGTCAGGTGTTGTAAACTCGAAGACGAAGCTGCTCTCAGCAGAAGCCGTGGTAAACTCCAGCTTTGTGGGCAGGAAAGTCATACTGAAAGCCAAAGACTGTTTCTCTGACAGCTCCCTGTGCACTGACGCCATCAGATCCTTTATTACCTCGTCTAGGGACTGAGAGAGATGGAAAGGGAAATTTTAAAATTACAAATATACTGTTGGTAGCTTTGAATAAATACACAAAGATGAGAAAATCAATTTATAATTAAATGCTGCAGACAGTTTTTTGAAGGTTCTTAATAAAGCTATAAATAATTCATAAGGGAAGACAATGAAGAATGATGATCAAAAGCCAATAATAAAGAAACTAAGAGTAGTGTTCCTTTTTAAATATTCTCAAATGTGCAAGTTGTGTGCAAGACAAAGACATGGGTAAAAGGAGAGAAGGAAGGTGGACTGAAACAAAAATGCAGTTGTGAAACATACATGTGAAGCTGTATTTTTTCCACAGTACCTGGTGTGGGAAGCTGAGGGTCTCTGACAGTTTGCTGATCTGACCAAGCGTGCTGAGATCCTCATCTAACCGGCTAATCATCTTCTGGATGCTTTCCTTATTTGTTGCCTGAGTAGTGTCTGTGGCAGAGAAGAATACACAGTCAGGGAATCACAAAACAAGTACCAAAAACAAATCTCCATATGTTGACTGAAGGGTTAAAAATCTTGAATCTGAGCAATTAAATATGTAATTGTTACACTGATGAATGAGCAAACAGTTAAGCTGTGCAAATCAACAAAATGTGATTAGCTTAAGTCCCTTTGGTGTTTCTGATTATTTAATTTTCATATGGAAATTCAATAGAGGACAAGAAATTTATGCATAATACGCGCAGTTTATCTGAGGATAAAATCACATCCTGCTACCTGGAACTACACACATTTATTTAGCACATGCAGGGCCACGTGCAGCAAAGTCTTGATTTAATAATCTTACTTTTCACCACCTCCACATCCTCCAGAGGAAGTTTCCACAAGAATTTGTATTTACTGGAGGTATCTATCACACTTGCAGCAGAGTATCTGAGAGAGACAGGAAGGGACAGAGAAAGATGCAGATAAAGACAATGAATAGTTACGACGAGTAAAGGTAAATAGTAAAACCAACACTGTCTGTATATCTGTTGTTCAACAGCAGGGGGCAGTGTGGTTTACAAACGGTGATATGCTATGTATGTTACTTACAGGCTCATGGAGCTGCGTCTTAATGAGCCAGACTTCCTCTTGAGAGTGGTGCAGATGATCAGATCGCTGAAGAGGAAGAGAGAACGGTCTTTCTTCCCACCCACTGTCTTCTACAGAGAGAGGAAGAGCACAGAAAGTCTGAACTTGGATTGACAGTAGTCAAATAAATGTTTTAACACAATATTTGCAAAATTTAAATAGTGTTACTGACTCAATGCAAAAGAAACCCGACAGTTTGCTTTTATCATTTCTATAACTGATATTTCAAGACAAGACACCAATTTAGGAATCCTAGCAACTACAAGCATTAGTCAGTTTAGAATATATTTCTTACCGCTTCCATGACTATTTCCTGCCTCAAGAACTTCCTCTGGGGGTTCAGAATCTGACACAAACATGCAGAGATACGTGATGATTTCACACGATGGAAATAACTTAACAACAGCCATCTCACTCTTCACAATTGAACCAAATAGTTCTGAATAATAAAAAAAAGCATAATCAAGAGAAAACAAAGCTAAGATTTGCTGACAGTTTATACTTTTTCTGTCACACTCGTGTAAGACAAGTTAACAGTGAAAGTCGACAAACATAAGGTGTTTTCATAAATGTATTAATATAAATAAATATCTTACATGTTCAACTCCCTCTATGTGCGCCTCAATCTCCTGGATGACCCTGGCTTCCCTCTCTGCCTCTTCAGCAGAGCGACGTCCCTTATTGATCTTCTCTGCCAAACGCTTGATGTCCCTCTGGGCGTCCAGTAAGAATTGATGGTCCGGATGATCCTCTGGAGTGTGCTTCAACAAGTCCTTAAACAAAGAACACAAGCACCAATACATTCATCTCCCTTTACATTGATTCCTTTTCAATTAACCCTGAGGAATTCTACGTACAGTGTTTAAAAAGTAGGTAGTTAGCAAGCCTCACCTTAACCAGCAGTTCGTATCGAGGAATCCTCTGCACCGGCTTAATCATCAGATCGCCCAGCGCCTGTTTCTCTTTGTTCTCACGCATGTTTTGCTGTTGAATTAAAGAAAGAAGGATAAAGGAAAAATGACATTGATTTAAGAAAGCATGAGAAAATAGCTAACAAGATGACTAACTCTAAAATCAGGTCACTGCTGCACTTTACATCTCCACCACACGATGGTGAAGTGGATCCACATTGGGTATCTGGCCTGGCATGACACTGTATGTGGTTGTAAACGGAGACTAGGATGAGGACATAATAGGATTTTGTGGTGCCTGGTTTCACCATTGCATCTGAACTCTTGTCTACAAACTTGTACCAGTTTTTCCCCCCCATCCATTTATTTATGGAGGCACACCACAGTATCAAAGTGTTCAACAGTGGCCTACCAAATTTAACTGGACAAAATACTGACATATCCACAGGTTGTTAAGTATAATCATCCAGCTGAATTGAATTGCAAAGATTGTTTGAGAGCATATCAGACAATAATTTGTACTTTAAGTGAAATAAGTAATTTGGGAAAAAGTAAAAAAAAAAAAAGAAAAAAGAAAAAATGCCTTTCCTAGGATATAAAACGGCTAGCACTGTTAACACATTTTAGATCTTCCAACTGCATTACAAGTTTGATACAGTGGGATTTGCTGGTTAAGGGAGGACAGCTTTCTAGTGTGGCATCCCTTTGTTCCGTACAAATAGATATTGTAAGACGAGCTGCTCACACCAACAAGAACCACCTGTGAATCAATCCCACACTCACCTCCAGAAACTTGTGAAACGCTGGCTTGGCCTCCTTGGCAATCCTCACAGCATCTTTGGCGTTGAGAAAGTTGTCAATGTACGCAGAATACATATTCGCCAGAGTCTCTTTGGAGAACTGGAGAAAAGAAGAAAACATTTAAGTGGCGATGCGCACACTGTCTGGTTACAGTAAATCTGATGGCACCTGTTTTGTAAAGTACATTTCAAAATTCCACATAGAAGTTAATGCAGTTTTACAGCACACGTGATCCAAACCACAATCCTGTTAAGAAAACAATTATTGTGTAGTAGTTTATTAATCAATTAGCTTAATGAGACAATAAAATGAAAGCAATTAGATTAGTTTTAGTTCTTTATGAATAGTATTAGAGGAATTGTTGCTTTTCTCTGGTTGCTATCATATCTAAGCAAATCTACTTGCCCATGGGGAACTAACCAAACAATATTAGGAATTTTTGAGTCATATTTTCTTCTTCTTCTTCTTCTTCTTCTTCTTCTTTTTTTTTTTTTTTACTTTTCATGGACTGAACAATTATTCAGTCAAAAAAAAATATTAGTAGGATACACTGAAGGAGCAAACTAATCGAAATTAAGACTCACAGGCTTATTTATTTTTTTCCGTACAGCGAAAATATCTTGAAATAATACACATTTCCTTGTTCAAATCCAATAAAAACCAAATCTACTACAAATAAGATCAAACTATTAAAGTATTTTCATTTTGTTTCAAAATAGAGCTCCAAAAAAGTGCTCCTAGCTTTTAATTTTTGTTTTAGCTGGTATTAGAAAGGAATAGTACTTCTGTTCATTGTCTTTTTTCTTGCTCTCTCTCAAGCACACAGATGAACAGAAACTCACACATAAACACACAGTCAGATGAATCACCCTGACCTGCTTTCTTTTCACAAAAAAAGGTAGAAGACTGAGAGCTCAAAGAAAGTGGAGACAGAGAGACATACGGCACAATGTGGTGCCTTATTTCAGGTCACAGAGTAACCAGCTTCCTGTCCTTTCATGACACGTACAGACCCTTTTCTACTCCTCACTGGCTTTCTTTTTCCCTGTTCTTATCATCCATCTCCCAGGGTTCTCTCCTCTATTCTCGCTCTTTTCCGTCTTTGAGGGACGGTAAGAGGACTTAAAAAAATAATGTCTGAGCAGAATGTAAGGATTAGTCACAGCAGAGGACAGCAGTGGCAGCAGGAAGACAACTTAATGTTCTTTTCCAGTAGATTTCTCTCCAAATATATTACTGAGTGATCTCCTTTCAACTTTAATTAAGAAGGCGTCAACCCTTCCAACCTTCAAGTGGAAGATTATACAGTAGCTGCCAGAGAGCAATCCCAATAAGAATGGATAGAACTATTGTTTTAGGCTTTACTTTTAAGCCCACTCAGGTTTGGACACCTAATTATTGTCAAGAAAAGACTGTCTTTTTGGATCGATTCATACATTTAAAATGTTCACTGATTGCAAGTTTTAGATTCTATAAGTATGTATTTGCTGTGTTCTTCAGTGTTGGCTGATCTGAGCATGTGTGAGGTTTTTATGGATTCACAAAATGAACTTTGAACCTTCTTTCTCTGTCATAATAAATGTTGCTGGTTATGGACAAAAGAAAGGGGTAAAGCACTTTTTTTTTTTTGGACCAGACAAAGTCTTATAATTAATGATAGAAAGTTTTGAATAAAATAAATCAAACCAAAACGATTTCAATTACTAAAAATGACACGGGCTAGTCAAATGCAGAAAATGGTTTAAAGGTTTGCTAAAGTGACTTAAAACACATTAACAGGGTCTACAGCTAATACAATCCAGATGCAAAATGACATTATTTATTCATCTATGGTAAGATATATTTCCTCTTAAAGCATTTTCTCGTGTCATATCACAATATAGTTCCCTTCTAATCATATTGCTGAGAAATGTGCTGTGTGCAAAACAAACAGGTCACTAATACGTGCACTGAGACAGCTAACAAGGTATACATGAATGATACGGTAAATCTGCTGCTTTTAGAAAACAAAGATCTTGACAAAAACTGTGCCCCGTGTGAGGCTCGAACTCACGACCTTCAGATTATGAGACTGACGCGCTGCCTACTGCGCCAACGAGGCCTGCAGCACCATGTGACCGGCTGCGGTTTAAGAGCTGCAGCGGGAGAGACTGAGGGAAGGGTGGGGGAGGGACGCTCTGTGTGAGAGGTATGCAGGATCTGCAAGGGCTGCAGCTGAACAGGAACAAAAGCCTCTCTCTGCAAGCAACCATATCCAAATGTGTTTTTCTGTTTTCATCTCATTCTCTATTTTTAAAGAAAATGCACCTGAAACAACACAGCGTGTGGTTTGCTGCATTTCCTGCATTGTCTTTGTTGTATCTTGCGAAACTTTCATTCAAGATAGTAGGTGCAGAGAGTGACCGTTTCCCTGCTCAATAAAAACAAAGCCTGTGTCCACACTACACTGTGACCTACTGAAGAATCTGACTTCCTGCTATAATTAATTTCTGCCGGTGTGTTTGCTCAGTGTCTGAGAAATTCCGTTCGCCTGGCTGTAAGTCGTTTACTCTTTCATTCTCAAAAAGGAAAACTGGCATGAAGCTTAACACTGAAGCTTTAGAGCACTGTGTTTTTAAAAGTCTAGGTTGAAAGCCACCCTTAGGTCATGGGAAATTCTAAATGGGTCACCAAGCGGTCACTGGAAAAACAAAATATTAAACTAGTGTTGCCAGCTATAGACCATCTCTTGAGTAAAACAGCTTCCATTCATTTTAAATATTGTTTATTCATTCAAGCTCAAGTCTACAGTAAAATAAATGTTGTGTTCTAGATGTGCTTCACTGCTGCACTACAGAGGATCGCACATTTGTCTTGGAATCTCATGTTAAACTAACCTTAAAAAACACAGAATACACATTGTTTTTCAATGAAACTGCAGCTATGCCTGAACAAAAAAAAAAACTGTTTTACAGAAATAAATATCTGTCTGCTATTAAACCATATTAGACACAAAAAAAAGAATAATGCACATTTTGAACAGTATTAATGGATCAGGTTTTAAGTTTGCCGCAGTATGAAAAAGGAGATGCAACTTTCAGTGGTCTGAAAAACTGCTTAGTTGTTTTTCAGTTTAAGGTTGATTTTAACATAAGGTTATTGTGTAGCTTTACAGTGTCACAACAATTTTAAGACTTCCCAAGTCTGTCTCACACACTGCAGCCTTATTGTTTTCAAGGCTGTTGAGAGAAGTAAAGGGATTACTGCATGCTGGCAGAGGTTAACTATCTCACACTGTCAGTCTACATTCTACGTACAGAACCCAACCATGCAGAAAACATTCCCGCAGTACAAAGAAGATATCAGTATTACTTTTGAATTGGAATCCTGTACAATCAATCATTAAAGAATCAAAAGTAAGATAAAATATAAGTGGAATATATTACTATTGAAATAGAAACTTGTAAATGTTCTCATAAAGGCAATATTTCGAAATTACCTCGAACATATATTTAGGATTTTTCTATTGTAACATCTTATTACTGATACATCTTTGATAAGCAAAAACCTGATGATAAGGCCTCGGCAAATACATCAGTGGGCCTTAATAACTGAGATAACTAGTGTGACTTAGTAGAAACCACCTGAATAGCTCATCTACTCACTGACGTCTGAGCAATCACAAAACAGTCTTGCAATGAAAGACTGGAGACACACAAACACACACTGAGAAATCCTCCTGTCCTTCTGTGTCAGTGTCAGCCCTAAAACCTTTGTTTCATATCTGTTGAAGCATGTGAGCACTCTAAAGGCCAATCCATGCTTGACAAGGCTCTATGTGACGTAAACTTTGTCATCTGCCAAAGTCCGTGAGTGTCTGTATGCACAGCAAACACAAGAAACAAATGGTGTTCAAAACTAATTTTGTGGAAAAGCTGTGTGAGGAAATTCTCTATTATCAACACTATTATACTTCATCACTAAAAGATTTGTAATACAAGTAGCTGCTGGTAGACTCTCAGGGTGCTCTGTTCAGAAATCTTACAGAAATGCAACATCCTCCCACTTAGCACACCTCACACAGTGCAACATCCCAATTTTTTTACCTAGCTGCTATATCCTATGAAAAGCAGAGTCACAGCCAGCCTTTCAGAAAGAGAGTCCAGCATTTTTTTTGTGTTCAGTATGACTGGCAATGCAGCAGTCTGTTTTCAAAGTCTATACATAAGGATGTGGAACCCACGAACTGGCCTTAAAGTATTGTCAGCTTTACTTACTGATTGGATAAGGAGGTGTCCAACGGTCTGCCTGTCGTGCCATTGGCTGACGCAGCCAGAGACCTGGTCCAGGAAGTGCTCGTGGTGCTCCAGGATTTCTGGGATCTGGTAGAACATCTCGTCCACTAGGAGAGGGTCCACAATGGAGCCGCTGTCCGGCTGTTTGAGAGGACGCATGTAGCCCTGAGGAGACAAAACTACCCGTTACTGACTGAGCATTTAAATTCATATCAATATGCATGAAGAACCCAACTAGTGTAGCAAGTTAGATACAATTTGGAGATGGTTGTAGGCAAACACTGGGTAGAGGCCTGCATTTGTAAGATCAAGTTATAGGTACATTTGTGGCTTGCCTTGCTAACCTATCACATGATTAAACAAATGCTTCTAGTCTTTTACTTTTATATGATATATGACTAAATGGTTGGTGTGTCTACTTAGCCAAAAATAAGGTAGGATTTACTGATTTATATATCCTAATAAGCATTATTATGCCTTAAAGGTTTTAATTCAAACTAATGTACGTTGTAATGTACATTTTAACCTCCTGTGCCATCCTTTGGTAACAGAAACGTTTAACATTTCTTATAACCTAATAATTGTAAACAAATTTCAGCAGTTTTCAATGTAATCAGGCATCACATTAAGGCAACACTGCAGCACTGTTTCAAATGTTTAAGCTGTGTGTGCTTGGTGTGCTTCAGAATCTGAAGATCCTTGTATATATTATAATAGAAAATTCTATTATGATAATGATAATAGAAAATTTAGAAATTATTTGCTATGCAGTCTTACTATGGGCTACAGTCTCATGAATAATACCAAGTCCTTTTGATGCATTGTTAACATTTTAGTCACAAAGTAGGACCTGCAATTGCTTTTGGACAAGTGGAAAACTGCATCATATGAGTTTTACTGGCCTCGTAAAGCTAGTTCAATTGGTAAAAACAACTCGACTGGTTATAATCTAGCACAGAGACAGAGAGCAGGTTATATTGCAGGGACATGAGGTTAACGGCTGTCACGGACGGCCATCTTTTTGTAACAGACATCACTGTGTGGTACAGTAGATGGCGCTCAAATGTGCTTCAAAACGTCCAAGGAGTGTTTTCTACTCGTGGCCCTACCTTTATGCAAGTTTTTCTTAGAAACTTTTCTTGTATAAAAAGCTTTTTATACAGTCATGGAGTTCGTTTCAGCACTAAACTGGCTTATAACATCGACGCCGCTATGCAACAGGCGCTAACGTTGCTAGCGGGCGAGCGTGCTAATCGCTATTATCATCTACATCGAACCAGACTGCATCTTACCTGAACAGTTTTGAAATTACACTCACATAGGTGTTTAGCTAACGCAAGCTTTAAAGCGTAATTTACCTGTCGCCAAACTCGGCAGCGACTATGGTAACGGGCATTATTTTCCAGCAGCATTGACAGTTTTCACTTGTTTTCTCAGGTCTAGTTTAGCATCTTTGGTCTCCATGCAGCCCGTGATTGGGTTCAGACAGCTTGAAGCTTTACGGGGTTAGGTAGTAACCTGAACATGTGGCTAAAACAAACGATCTAAACTGCAATTAACTTTTTTTTATTTTTTTTATTTTACAGAATTTTACTGTCATGGTCAAGTTATTTATCTCTGTAAATAAATGCACTTTTAAACTGGGCAACAAAAGAAACAAGCCAAAAGGGCAGAGCAATTTCTTTGATATATATTTTAACAATCACTTACAGAGTCCTCTCAACTCAATAGTCTTTTGGCCAAATTTACTATCTATATGGAGCACGCTTAATTGTTTTTCCAACTTTATTCATAACAGTCTGACTCGCCAAATGTAGACTATGGGTATAAGCCTATGATTCGTCTCACATTTCATGTGGCTTTATCCTCTGCTTCCACTATCTGTTTACAAAATTCCCTTCACAACAGGAAACAACAATTACTTGAATATTTCAAGGTTTGCCAAAGGTTTGGATCTTGCAGTAAGGCAACGTTCTTCAGTAAATTAACCATTTTAGTGACAGTGCTTGCCCCCCTGCATGCAAACATTCCAACAAAGCAATTCCTCTTTACTATTTTAGCCGGACACTGTTGGTGCATTCTGTGTTTAGCCCCTATATTGGTTTAAAGAAACACAAAAATGCATAGCTTTTATTATCAAATAATGACAATGAGGTGCAGTCAGATCACATATTGCTGTGTTAGTGCTAGAGAATGGCCTGGCTATGTGAGACTAATTATAATCAAGCTCAGATAACAGTGTATAAACAAGTGGAACGAACCAAACGAGGACGTACCAGAGGAGTTAGTTATAACATAAAAGAATACAACTTTTAAAACAATATTCAGTAAAGGGATAGTGCAAGAAGCTTTTTTTTATTCAGTAAGAGCAAAATAACACATTGGTGGAGGAAAAAGTAAATCAAAGTGTCACAGAGGTAGTTGGCATCTCAAGATGTGATAACAGTTGTTCATATATTCGTAGATGTAACTCTGACTTCTGAGTAAACTCTGTGCTGATGATCATGAAATGTAGTTGAAAGGTCGCTGATAATAAATACAAAAATGTTCTGACCAGTATCTTTAAGATCACAAACAAACCTCATGAATGTTGTTTTCATGTATCTTGTTTTTTTTTTCATGTCATGACCATGTCACTAATGCATTGTATCCATTGGGTTTTTATGAGAAGGAGGTAGAAGCAGGAGGTCGGTGGGTTTTCTGGGAAAAGAGGAAGGGGGGATGTTTCCCATTTCCCACCACCGCTCCTCCTGTTATAAAAATGTTACTATTCTTGGAAAATGTCTTTAAATCCTCTATGTGGCGCTGTGTGCATCCAAACGCATAATAAAATGTTTCTATTTTTGCCAGTTTCACCCTAATTCCTGACAGTGACCCAACAACATGCCAGGCCTTTCGCATAAACACAATCATGCATGCACATTCTTGTTTCCAGTCATTTCTGTTTTGCACACACACACATCTGTTATAGATAAACAGTGATGGTCAGTCTCTGTGCTCCAGAGGTGTGTGTTAGTCATGGCAGCAAACTGTGCTGTTACTAGAAGTAAATCTCTAAATAAGTGAAATCTGGATGAACTCTGTCCATGTCAATATCTGTGTATAAGGTTAACACAGTCTAACCTCACCTTAAAAGACAGCACATCACCCTCTTTCTGGCTCATTCGCATTGGTATTTGTTTTTAAAGCCTTTAATGGTTCAGCTCCACAATACATTACTGATATATGAACTCCATTTTCTGCCCCTAGGCCACTTAGATCATCCTCACAGTAATTCTCTCAGTCTCCCACTCATGCCTCTATACCAAAGGTGACAGGGCTTTTTTTTTGATACACAGGCTTTGGCAGTCTCTCATTTTATGTCAAACTCTGTGCCACCACTGGCAATTTCAAACCAAAATCAAAGGCTCACCTGTTTTCCCTATCCTTGTTGTTCACCCTAAACTGCTCTAATCATATCCACTCTTCTTTTGTGTTGCTCGATTGCCTTATAACACTCAGTTTTTTCTCTCCATGCTTTTAGAATTTTACTTTGTTTTAATCTAGACACTGTGCATTACCTTGGTTGTCCTGTTTATATGGCTGTCTTCACATGTTCATCCATGTCCTGTCCTCCATGCATTTATATGTACTTTCTAATGTTATTAACTTTGTTACTGTTCATCCATACATCCATTATCTATACACCACTTAATCCTCACGAGGGTCACGTGGATGCTGGAGCCTATCCCAGCTAACTTAGGGCAAAGGCAGGGGACACCTTGGACAGGTCACCAGTCTATTAATTTTTAAATAAGGCACACAATTTGTTAGAGTATATAATATTGTAGATTCTTAGCATTTAAATTATTTGGGTTAATGTATATTGTACATAATATTGCAGTATCAGAGACGTAACCCTTTAAACTGTTATCTTATTTCTGTAGGAAGTTCACAATGTACCTAGCTATTCCTAAATCTACATTTCAACACAAATGCTAAGTCAAAAACCAGACACTGTTCCAAAAGATTCAACTGGATGAGTTGATTGATTTGGTACTTGTCCTTCATCACCTATCCATTTACATAATTTTCTTTACCTTCTAGTGTACAAGTATTAACAAAAGTGTACTAAAAATACACAAAATAAACGGTTTATACTGATGCAACAACGTGTGAACAGCATTGTACTGAAGTTCAGTGTGGAAGTTTTCATTTGGTGGCACTGCTAACATCTAAGCCACACACAGGCCACAAAGCTTGAGAAATACGTGTTTAATCCTTACATTGTTTGTACTTTAATTGTTGTTTATTATGTAAAATCTTTATCTGAAAAATGTCTTTTAGCTGCATAAACATAGTGGATGTAAACCTATCAAACTGGCCTCTGAAATATAATGTATAAATAACTAAATTATCTCAAAACTGCACTTAAAGTAAGCAAATGAGGTTCACTGTCATTTCAAACAAAACAGCAGACAGGATGCAGATATTCTCCCTTTGTTGCAAGAACATAATTAGTTGTTTTTTTTTATTTATTCTTCTCAAAGAACAGACTGTGGTGATTTCAAATCTGCTTTTTATCTGGCGCTTCCTGTTATCAGTAACAATCTGAAAAGTCATATTCCTCTTTGCAGGTCACTTTAAAATACTAAGTTTCATTTTTACAATATTCCATGTATTTTGATACTGGTGTCAAAGATTCTGTCAAAAAATATTATAGCAAATCACGACATGGTAAATGGTCTGAACTTTCTACCTTAGTGGTACCCAACGTGCTTTACAATGTTTCCAATTCACACATTCACACACCAGTGACGACAGAGCTGCCATTCAAGGAAGACATTGTAGATTTCAGAATCCCTGATATCTCCAATTTGGATTTAGACTGACAGCAGCATAGATTTTTCCTAATAATAACAGTCTGGACAGTATGACGTGAATGCAGCATTAGTCATGCTGCTATAGACACGACACTCGCAAAAAGATTAAGCTGGATTTTGTCGCCACATCTTTCATCTTTCCCCCTGTTTCTATCTTTTTTAGATGTAGCAGCTAGGTTCTCAACAGTGTCCTAACAAGGTTGACTCAGATACACTCTAACTCACAGAGACACACACTGTGATCCATTAAACTTGAGAGAATTTTGGAGATTCAATTTGCTCTGAAATGGACTCAGACAGATGTGACCCTGAGGCTCCAGAAGCTGTAAAGTCCAGTTAGCTGTGCATGGCTCACTGCCCGACTTCATGGCACATTTGATGACTAATCCGATCTGCTGGTTAAAAAGTCTGCATTGAAGAAAGTTGGGACAAAGAGGGAGTTATTTTTAATGCAGCGCTGATTCAGCTTGTGCTTCCTTCAACAATTTTTTTTCTAGAAAATGAGCTACATTAGGACTCAATGGCTGAGCACTGAGTTGTAATGAAGTCTTTCCACTTCCTATTCAGATAGCCCCACATTCAGTACAGTTGTGAATTGCGCACTTAAACGGGAAGATTGGTCTGTGACTTGGCAGAAATTTCCCCTGGCATTCCGCATGCACCGACATTTATTGCCATTTATTTGTGGAAGTACTGTGCAGTAAAGTTGTTGTTTTTCAGAGCAAGCGTCAGGTCAGCGGGGTGAGAAAGAGATTGGACAAAATGAAATGCCTGTGTCATCAGGAACCACGTACTGCACTAAACGATGCATCTCATGAGGTATCTGTAAGTATCATGTCTTCTGGACACAGACCAACCTCACATCTGACATTAACCTATGTTTAATCATTTATTATAGCTGAAAGTAACGTGTATCTGGTTCACACATTAAATTCGGTTTCCTCCTTCATTCGAAACTGTCTCTCTTCAATATTCTAACAATTCACTTCTGACAGGTATATTAGTGTCTGAGTTGCTTTCTGTCTGTCTGATTTCTAGAGAGGTTGTATTTGTATCCTTGTCCAGTGATCTTTTCCCGTTCTACTGTATGTATCTATTTTATTTTGTTTTGGGGTCAAGTCCATTTCCGATCGACTTCAGCATTTGTGTAAATAATCACACCTTAAAATTATTCTGACCGCAAGTAAACTAGTATCTACAAATATCTATGAAAGAGGAACAGGGTAACTCCTAAAATAGCAACCTGCTGGTCAGTAAACTATGTTGGGTAAGAAACTCC